CGCGTCGACTTCATATATAAGCGGAGCCCTCTATTTGTTTTTTATTTTTTGTGTTCTGTCGTGGTGTTCAGATGTCAACGCATATCTGTCTGAGGGCGACTTCGCAGCCGAATGGATGCGGCGAAAGTCGTTAGCGAAAACGTTTGATATTAGCAGGGCCACAATCTCGAGAATTATTTACTACGTGACGGTGCCCAGAGGTAAAATTCATTGGCAAAAACGCTCTACAACGAAGCAGGATGACGATTGTATTTGTCGAATAGAAAATATGCTTGCCTTTTGAGATGTATTATTCCTTTAACGTAATATCGACTGTGCGTCCGTGGAGTAAACGCTCTGCGAGCTAAAGGGGTTTACGTATGACGTTGATATTGTCGCATGCAGCATTTGCCATGCTGTACTTTTTAAATTAACAGTAGCCCACTGTTTTTAAATGCCCAGAAGAGAAAAGCATGCTATGTAATGAAGACATTCTAACAAGATTTACGCATTGAAATTCGTGTTTATGTAACTGTTCAACACCATTCGTCTGACTATTATTCAGACACTAAATAAAGAAGGCAGACCTTTTATTTTTATGACGGAGAAGACGGACGAACATCGTGTCTGAAATATCTTAGGACTAGGAGCAGTTCAGTTTTATAAGAGGGGACATGGGTTACCGCCTTTAAGTCGCTCTCGGTTACACGGTGGCTAAGGAAAAACAGCGAAATAAACGAAGTCTGCAAAGAAGGTTGTTCATAAAACCGCATGCGAAAAGCAAACAGGCAGATGAAAAAAAAGCATATATTCCTACGTACTAAGAATGAGTAGTATAACAGTAAATAATCTCGCTTGTATGGTTAAGTGCATGACTGGTTAGATAAAGCTTGGTACGTCTGAACTCTGGTAGTGCATGCCATCACACGGCTAAAACTGAACTAATCGCCGACAACAGGCTGCAACCATCACGCTACATCACACTACTTAAGGACAGCCTAAATCCATCAAGCTCTCTTTTAAATTTGCCCTTGAACATGAGCGTAAATAGCACTAGGCGGACAAGGCAGCAGTGATGACTGTTTATAATGTTACAGTTTAATATCAGATACCCTCTTAGTTACGAATAGAGACAAAGGTTTGCATCCCAGGTGTTTGTCTAGGAGAAAAAGTCGTTGCAATAACCAGAATTGTAATTTTATTCTACTGAACTTTCGGTCTCTTACGGGAGTCCATCATCAGTGTTAGACTGTCAGCGAGCAGCAGTTATAAGGGGCATAAACCAATCAACCTTTATGGGGAAAGGGAGGGCGAAGTGTAGGGTGGGGAAGGGGTGGAGGTGGAGTGGGCGAGGGGCAGAGAAGGAGGAGGAGGGGAGACACATTATTCACCAGTTTCGGCCCTGCGTATATGTCTGCAGAGGGCCATATAGGCGGACGCCAACTCAGTGCACCGGTTGTCTGAATTGGCTTCTGAGACCCAGGCTTCAATTAGCTCTCATGCGTTTGCTATCGGCGTAAGTAATTAGCCTTCCTGCTGTGAAGTTAAATTCG